CCTCCCACCCCTGGCCCTCTTTTACTTACATTTTTAGTAGTTGCTCAGCAGGGAAGGGTGGAAACTTCCAGACAGCTCGCCTTCGCTGCAGACAACTTGCAGCACTGTTTGCAGAATGGGATTTTTGGCGGGCTCAGCAGGGCAGAGACAGCCTGGACAATTTCTATTGGCTTTTGAAAGCCAATAGAATTAGACTCTATTCAAGAGAGTCTATTCTATTGGCTTTCAAAAGCCAATAGAATAAAAGGGAGTAGCACAGCTAAGGAAAAGGGGAAAAAAATGGCGGACTTCGTTGTTTGGTGACCCCCGTGAAATGGTCATTTCACCCCAAATGGGGTCCCGACCCACAGGTTGAGAACCGCTGTTCTACATACTCCATGTTGATCGATAGTATTCATCTGGAGCAGAATAAGGAATATTTTTTTCTATATTTCAGAAGTTGGGAGTAATTTCCTTAACAAAGCCAAGGTACTTGATTGCTTTGACATTAAGACACTCTCCAGGAATCCTGTCAGTGATTTTGTCACAGAGCACAAAATTGTGAAATGTTTAATCCAAGCCAAACTCCACCCCAGAAAATGTCTGTTCTGGAATTATTTCTTAAGAGACTTGAGGTCCTTCCTTCCTTCCTTCCTTCCTTCCTTCCTTCCTTCCTTCCTTCCTTCCTTCCTTCCTTCCTTCCTTCCTTCCTTCCTTCCTTCCTTCCTTCCTTCCTTCTTTCCCTCCCTCCCTTCTTCCTTCTTTCCTTCCTTTCTTCCTTCCTTCCTTCCTTCCTTCCTTCCTTCCTTCCTTCCTTCCTTCCTTCCTTCCTTCCTTCCTTCCTTCCTTCCTTCCCTCCTTTGAAATTTCTATATTACATAATACATGTTTTGGTTTTCTTCTTTAAGTTTGGGGGAACACAACCCCCGCCCCTCCAAAATGCAACGTGTAATTTCATTTTTTCCCCCATAACTCTATTAACATTATGATTCCTTAAGAAACAATTAACTGGGACAGAGTAGCAATACTCCAGCTATGAAATACCAGTCCAACTGTGTGGGGGTAGCAGCAAATTTTAATTGCCATTGGAAGATTGATTACTAATTATAAAGCTGTCTCAAGCTATGTCAACTGCATTACTAGGTCTGTGCCATCCCAAGAGCCCGAGTTCAATTGAATGTCTATTGTTACAACTCAAGAGTGAAAATAATTCTTTCCCTCCAGCACCACGGCACAGCACCAAGGTATGTCAATCAAGCAGCCACACAGCCCATTATCCCACTCAGGCAGGAGTCAAAAATAGCAACTCAAGAGCAGTGTGAAGCAATTGCCTTACATTTCCTACTTCTTAGCCCTATAGGCCCCCAGGGACTACACCACTGTTCAGAGCAGGCATTGCAATCGGTTCCTGTTATTTTGGTCAGACACTGATTGGTGGGCATACTGGCTGACAGCAGGGGAAGCAAGATTTAGCTGGCTCATTTCAGACTTTTAGTACTTACTGAAGAGCACACAAAACATGGATGGTCTTGGCCACCAAAGCTACCAGTATTGCCAGTGATGATGTTGGATGCAGGAGTACCCCAATTTACTCTCTCCTTCAATTTAATTGTTTGGGGGTCAAAGTATGTGTTCATGAATATTAAATCCTGAAATCCTGTATACTAATACTATAGCAGAATCGTGAACTATACACGACCTTCGTGGATCTCACCAAGGCTTTTGACACAGTTAGTCGTGAAGGACTATGGCGCATTATGTCGAAGTTTGGATGCCCTGACAGGTTTATTCTGATGGTACAACAGTTCCATGATGGCATGGCGGCTCGTGTTCTGAGTAACGGTGGATTCTCAGAGGCCTTCCCTGTTACTAATGGCGTTAAGCAAGGCTGCGTGCTGGCACCAACCCTGTTTAGCATGATGTTCTCAGCCATGCTGTCAGACGCCTTTCAGAACAGCTCAGTGGGAGTTAATCTGAGGTACAGAAGTGATGGGAAACTGTTCAACCTGCGAAGACTTCAGGCTGTCACCAAGGTAAAGGAGACTGTGCTACAAGATCTCCTCTTTGCTGATGACTGTGCCCTTAATGAAGGATCGGAGCAGGAAATGCAAGCCAGCATGGACAAATTCACAGCCGCTTGTGACAACTTTGGCCTCTTCATCAACACGAAGAAAACTGAAGTGATGTACCAGCCAGCTCCAAAAGCCCAATATCAAGAGCCTACCATCACAGTAAAGGAACAAAAGCTGCAAGCAGTGGACCAATTTACGTATCTTGGTAGTACCCTCTCCCGTGCAGTGACAATTGACATCGAGGTCAACTGTAGAATTGCCAAGGCAAGTTCTGCATTTGACAGATTGCGGACTAACGTGTGGGACCGCCGTGGAATAAGTGTTGCTAGCAAGCTTAAAGTTTACCAAGCAGCAGTGCTAACTACCCTATTGTATGCTAGTGAGACCTGGACAGTGTACAGGAGGCATGTTAGGCAACTGAACTACTTCCACATGACTTGTCCTCGTAGAATTCTGAGGATCCGGTGGTAGGATAAGATACCAGACACAGATGTCCTCTCCAGAGCAGGCCTATCATCAGTTTACACTCTGTTGATGAAAGCCCAGATGCGCTGGGCAGGCCATGTTGTAAGGATGCCAGATCATTGCATTCCTAAACAGCTCTTCTATGGTGAGCTGTCTCAAGGAAAGCGATCGCACGGGGGACAAAAGAAACGATACAAAGACACATTGAAAGCTTCTCTTAAGTCCCTGGATATTAACACCATCTCTTGGGAACTTCTGGCATATGATCGACCGACATGGCGCACCTTGGTGTACCAGGGTTGCCAGACATATGAACACAGAAGGACAATCTTGGCACAAGAAAAGCGAGCACTCCGCAAAGCCAGAGCTGCAAATGCTGAAGTAACAGTGTCTACATTTCTTTGTTCAGTATGTGGCAGAACATTCCGTGCTAACATCGGTCTTATTAGCCACCTACGGACACATCGTTGATGGCCCATAACCCACAAGATGTCAAGGTCTTCATCGAAATCAATGGACAAACAACACTATAGCCACCACACAGCTATAATGACCATCTGCAGAACCAGCCTAGAAGGATATACCTTGATTGATGCTATCAAAGAGACAGATCAAAGATCATTGCCAGAGCTTCCCTTGAGCATCTCTCTTCCACAGAAGGTGTTTCTTTGTCAGATTCCACCTAAGTAGATCTGATCCATCAATAACTACTTTAACAATGCCACTGTTAACAACTTTGCACTTATAATACAATCCACTGGATCTTTCTTAATGTGTGGTCATCATATCTTGCAAACATTAATAATCTCCTGGACTCATCCCATTGTTTTAGCTTATTTTAGGAAGACAAGTTGGGCCAGTTTTGAAAACATAGATAGATCTCTGCAAGCATCCCCAAGCAACAATAAAAAAAAACTCTGATGATCTCAAGCTAAAATATAGTAGTCAATATACTAGAACCTTTCAGACGATGCCTAATACTGCTTGTCTTTAGGAATTAACTTGGGGCTTTCAGGTTTTAAAATTCAATCTTTGTTACTAAAAACCCTTTCTTGGGGTTAATATATCATTGATAAATATATCATTAAGAATCTGGTCATTTTTATGACTGAGTCATTTAGGATGACTGTAAAGGAATTGTTCCGTCGTTGGCCTACCAAGTAGCGGGTAGCAGTAGCATTATTAAAGAAATTGTGACACCTGACAGAGTTTTAAGTAATGCATTAAGGGTTGCAATATTTTAATCCTGCTTATTATTCTTGCATGGAAATGGGAAACATGTAGAGAAGTTATTACAAATATTACGTTCAAGTCAAAAGAGATGGCAGAATATCTCAGACCTACTTCAGAAGATTCAATAAGCTATATAGGGGAGGAAGGGAGAGAAAGTTAAGAAAGGAAGGTCAAAATAGTGAGAGCTTGAAAAGGTACATTGAGAATCTTATGGATGGTAAAAATGTTTCTCAATTGTGGGTGTTTAGTAGGGCTATCATATCAAGCAACACTACATTAATCACCATGGTAACACAAGGAATAAACTCCCAGAAATTGGCCCAAATACTTATGCAATAGACTTTAATGAGAACATCAGGCCAATACATGGGCAATAACACTAGACAAATTGTTTATTAGTCTTCTCCAGTCTGGGTGTCTTCCAGGTGTATAGATTTCAGCTTCCAGAATTCTCGGTAATGACCATGCTGGCTAGGGAATTGTGGGAGCTAGTATTCATCAGTAGGACACCCATGTTGGATAGGCAGCTGTATGTAATGAAAGCAGCCCGGTGAGTAAATGAAGGTATCCTCAAGTGGTACCGAGAAGAGAAAATATACGGTATATATAGAGAGAGGTCCCTGGTGGTTCAGTGGTTAAGGTGCAGCATTGTGGGCTAACTCTGCCCACAGCCAGGAGTTCAATCCTGACTGGCTCAAGGTTGACTCAGCCTTCCATCTTTCCAAGGTTGGTAAAATGAGGACCCAGATTGTTGGGGGCAATATGTTGACTCTGTAAAACTACTTAGAGAGGGCTGTAAAGCACTGTGAAGTGGTACATAAGTCTAAGTGCTAGACACACAGACACACACATACATATACATGTGTGTGTGTGTATGTGTATATACACACACAGAGAGAGACAGAGACAGACAGACAGACAGAGACAGACAAGACAGACAGACAGACAGACAGAGAGACAGACAGACAGACAGACAGAGTCAATCAATCCAATCCTGTGTTAACACACAAACTTCTTTTAAATATTATAAGTATCATACCCAGGTTAATATATGCATTAGAATAAAGTTCTTCTCCAAACTGGGAAATTGTTTTGTGACAAAATGATCAAGTCCCACTTCAGCAATGAAAAGCAGCTGGGTGACCTTGGGCCAGTTGTTCTTTTTCAGCCCAACCACTCACAAGGTTGTTGTTGTGGGGAAAATAGGAGGAAGGTATGTCATTTTATTTGTAAAAATAATAAAGGCAGGATACAAACAAACAAATAAATAAGGGACATGCATGGATAAAGTTCGCTTTTCCTGTACTGTCCACCAGTGGTGGAATTCAAATATGTGAACAACTGGTTCTCTGTGTGGATGCCACTTCCGGAAGTCCGTTCTGGGCCTGGACAACAAAAAAATTAGCTATCGGTTCTGCCAAACTGATGCAAACTGGCTGAATCCCACTGCTATCCACCTATTTGGTGCTTGAAATTATCCCTGCTCCTTATTCATTTGGTAACCCAAAGATAACCCTGCTACACCTTTTGTGGCCTCTGCAAAACAGAAAAAGCAAATTTCTCATTGAACAAGTATTTTTTTCAGCATGACTATAGCTAAGTGAACCGAGTCAATGAAAGATTAAATCTAAATCTGATTAGGTCCAGGTGAACCACATTCATTTTGATTAAAAAAATGCAAACTATAGACAGTCTTTCAGATCAAATATTTTGATTGATTGATTATATCATCAAGTGACCACATAGATAGACCTTTGCAAGATGAAGTCTCCCCTAGCAGATCCTTCAGGTCTTCCAATAATGCATCCAGTACCACTGTAACAGAGGCTATCCACCTTGCTGCTAGCCACACTCTTATTTTCTCTCCCATCTTTCCCAGTGTTATGGATTTCACAAAAAACATGTATCCGAAATATGATAATTTGAGTTTAGTCATTTGTGCCTCAGGTAAAAACTCTGGATTGATTTGTTCCATGATCATTTGTTTGTATCAATACTTTTCCAATATCAAAAAGCAGAAATACTCATTCTATTTTGCTTTTTCCAATGTCCAATTTTTACTTCCATAGACCTCTTGTTGAACATTGGTAGTACTATAGAGGAGTTGTGTGCTGATGTGATTCGGAACATGTGTATTGGACTTCAACATTAGCTAGAAAAATGAAAGAAAATGATCAAAATTAATATTACTATAGTTTGATAAAATAGCAGCAATATATTTTTTTACTTTTTTGTATGATACATAACTAGCATATCTCTCTCTCCTTCTATCTACCATCTATCTATCTATCTATCTATCTATCTATCTATCTATCTATCTATCTATCTATCTGTCTGTCTGTCTGTCTGTCTCTATATTCTCTCTGTCTCTTATAATAAAATTTGGATTGCTAACAAAGAATTAAGGGGGAATGGAATAGCTATTTTGAACTTTTTAGTTCTCGTCAACCAGACATACCCTTCTGAGATTCGAACCTGGGCTGTCTGCATGTTAAGCAGCTGTGTTAACCTCTAGGCCACAGGCTCGAAATAGCTACTTTATTCTCCCTTAATTCTTTATTAGCAATCCAAATTTTATAATATAAATGATGTCGTAGTTGCGACTGCTGCCTGTGGATGGCTCTAGTTTGAGCTGATACAAGGCAAAAGATTTCTTTCTCCCATATTTGGGTCGACAGGGTGCATCAAAAAGCACTCAAGATATATATATATATATATATATATATATATATATATATATATATATATATATATATATATATACATACATACATATGTATCTGAAAAATGTTTCAACAAATAACTAAATGATTAGTATCTGTATATATATAGTGGCAAAAAAATATCAAGAATAAATCCACAGATTCTCTACAAAAACACCACTGAAGGAGGCCATGGAATTCCAAACATTAAATCTTATTATGGCGCTATCCACATAAATAACATTTTAGCTTGATAAAATATAAGAAGAAAGAACATATTGGTTAAAATGGAATGTATAAATATAACACTAGCAAAAAACTAGGGCACTTTCTTTGTGCCAAAAAATAGTCATAAAGAATTCAAATACATTCAAAATCTGTTTCTTTTGAATATTTTCAAGGTTGGAAAAGAGAGGTCCTACACCTTTTCTACTTCATCATGCCTTTTATGATGAAGATAAAGTTAAACAGTATCAGGGCTGGAAAATTAAAGAGTTTTGCATTTCAAAGAAGAGTTTAAAACAATTTAGAAAAATTGGCTCATAGAATGTTTCATGTACATCAAATTTTACATTTAACTGCGATTCCAAGAATCAGAACACAAGCAATTAGAGGCATGACTAAATTTGAAGTTAGGTTTAATTCGTCACATAATGGGAAGAAAGGCAGGCCATCAAAAATTTACAGTGCTCTGTTGGAAAACAAACTTCCCAGATGGGTTGAAAGCAATCAAATATAATAACCTCTTTATCTATGACTTTATGATTAAACAATTGGCACAGCAAACTCTGAAACTGAATTCAGCTCAAATTGGAGAAAAGTCAGTGAAAGCATTTTATAGATGGGATTTACCATTAAGGAAAACTGATAAATTCTCTGCTGGAGAAAAAACAACAACGGGTACATACCATACATGTGGTCTTGTAAAGTCAATTAATATTTTTGAACGGAAATATTCATTAACACAGGAATGCTCATAACACAAGCCAGTAGATTGGTGCTAAGTAGGCTTTCCTAAGTGTTTTGAAATCCAAAATGATTCTTTATAAAACAAAAAGTTCACCATTTTGTTATTGGATGTGGCCAAACAGGTAAATAGTAAGATCCTAAAAAACAAGGTAGGATTTGAATATTTATATATGGTGGCAAATATGCTGGAAAATCAGTTCAAAGGAGAAGTTTATTTCTCCTCCATCCCAGAAAAATAGCAATTTCACATTAATACAGAAGATAATTTTAACTTCATCAAGTAGTTTAAATTTATTAATGATGCACAACAAAGGCATAATGATTGTCTATCATCCAATCCCAGATTTCTAGATAAGTTCATAAATATTTTTATTATAAAATGTAAGGAAATTGTTAATAATGGTTAATTCGAGTTTCATGTCACTATGCACATGAGAATAGTAACAATTCCTCTACTGTAAGGTGACCAACCGTCCTCCTTTAGGGAGGACAGTCCTCCTTTTGTAAGTTCTGTCCTCCCTCAAAAAGTGTCCTCCTACATGTCCTCCTTTTCGATATTTGAAGACTAATCTGCAGGGCTTTTTTTCCCTCATAGAACGCTCAGAATGGCGTTCCGGCACCTTTTTTTGATGGTTTTTTTTCAACTTTTGCATGAGCTGTGCTACTCCCACTATTGGCTTTCGAAAGCCAATAGGAATTGCTGCTGAGCGCACCAAATTGCTGCTGAGTGCGGCCGGCAAACTTTGCACATACAAGTTGTCTGCAGCGAAGGCAAATTGGTAGGAACTTTGCACCCCTCCCTGCTACCCAACTACACCATCTCCTAGTTAGTCCTGAAGATACCTGGAGAAGACTGGAGCGGCGATGCCATGGTAACTTTCTCTTGATCTTCGGCCCTGCTAGGGCAATAATGGCTGCGGGCGCAAGAGGCAGGGGCGGTGAGGCTGCTGTGGGCGGGGGTGTGAGGGGTAGTGGCAACTTACAGGACCGCATTCTGCCACACAGCTCCCAGAGACCGGTGAGGTCCCATAGATTGGGCCTCCTTCAGGTCCCGTCGGCCAGACAATGTCGGCTGGCGGGCCCTCGGGGAAGGGCCTTTTCTGTGGTGCCTCGGACCTGGTGGAATCAACTTCCCCCCGAGGTTCGAACTACTCCCACCCTGCTGGCCTTTAAGAAGGCCGTTAAAACCCTCCTGTTCCGGCAGGCCTGGGGCTGATGTCCCCGGGGGGCCGGGATATGATCGGACTCGCGGTATGACTGCTTTATTTTATTGTTTTATCATTGTTTTAACTTTGTACGCCGCCCTGAGTCCTTTGGGATTGGGCAGCATATAAACACTGAAAATAAATAAATAAATAAACCGGCTGCTCCCCGTGCTGTGGGAGCCGTGGGCCCTACTCTATATGGGGCTGCGCAGGGTGGGAAATGGTGCTGGCGGGGCGGCTGTAGGCGGAGTGTATTGACGGCAGGCTGCCCCCCGGGGCTGGAGCCGGCACAGCTGGTGCTTTGGGAGCCGCGGGGCCCACTCTGCATTTATCATATTATAGTGTATTCTGTATTATTGTTGCAATGAATAAAATGTTTCTTTTATGTATGATATTTTTTCTTCAATTTATTTGTGTCCTCCTTTTCATTGTAAAAAAGTTGGTCACTTTATCTATTGATAATAAGTTGAAATAAAAGAAAACAGAAGAAACAAAATACCCATGTTTGTGCATTCTCACTTGCACAGTGGTGTGAAACTTGAGTTGCTCAGGACAGCATAATTGCTGGTCCTAGTGCACAGGCAAAAAGCACAATCCTCCATGAACACACAGCCATCAGCCATCACTGTCTTCTCAAGAACTCCAGCATACACAGTGCTACTGGTAGAAAGGTCAGGTAGAAGCAGGGGTGGGATTCAAATATGTGAACAACCGGTTCTCTGTGTGGATGCCGCTTCCGGAAGTCCATTCTGGGCCTGGGCAACAAAAAATTAACTACCGGTTCTGCTGAAGTGGTGCGAACTGGCTGAATCCCACCACTGGGTAGAAGTCAGTAGATCCATCCTGCTTGGAACAGACAAAGTCCTTTCTATCAGTCTCAATGGTGGTAAAATCCTGGGGGGAACAGATGAAATCAGGCTTGTTATAAAGCTGGGGGGAAAAACAGCTGGACGTTCTCTCTTTCTATATTATTAAACAATCGGCATATGGCTTAGAAGAGCTTTCTACAATCTGAGTCGTGGGTGTCTCACTGCCAGAGGCAAATGTGAGGTGCCTGGGAAAACAAAAAAAATCTCCGTCTTTCTGATCCATTTTTTCATGTTATTTTTTAAAATTCAGTCCCAGGTTGGGAGACAGCTTGTTATTCACTGCCTAGATGCCTGGTTGACTTCCATGCTACATTTGGTACCCCAAAGGTAAAAAATGACATGCTGCTGGTTTCTGCAAGTCACAGCAAGAGGAAAAGAAGAATCAAAGTCAAAGTCTCTGGTTGTTGTTGTTGTTATTTTGTTTTGTTTTTAGGAATTCTCTTGCTAATATGTCAACTAAATGAAAAAAATGCCCTACTAAAAAGCAAAAACATTCCAGCAAATTAGCTGTTGTTCCTTGGATTAACAGTCTCTTTCAATATTAGCAAACATGGCTTAAAGAAAGACTTGGGAGGGTGGTAGAGAGACTACAATCACTGCCCCCCCTTCTTGTCAAGGATTTTATGTTGTTAATGATCACTGGGCTTGGGTGACAATGTGAAGGAACAATGCTTGTGCTGGTCCAGTATATAGCTAGCTTAGGAATTAAGGACTGTGTGTAGAGCAAGTAGCATTTTAAGGGTTAAAGTGCTGCCCCTTTAAGGGTGGCCTTCTGGGAAATGTAGTTTTAGTTATATCTGTGTTCTGATTGGCCACTGGGAGGGACTTGTGTTTTTATTACAGGACATCCTATGTATGTGCCAGTTTTATTATCTCTCTCCATGAATCCTAGCCACAAGGCTGGGAGCTCCATAGAATGGGGAAATCTGTTATCCTTTTACCTATGCGATGGGTCCAGATTACAATCTACATTCTAGAAGAACTTTTACAATAACTGTGAGTTAATGTCTTGAGGATGCCTGGAATAAAGTAATTTTGTATGACTCATCCATTGAGTTTATTCTGCCTGTTTCAAGTGAAATCCAGCAATCTACTTTGCATGAAACAGGAAAATGCTGCCTTATTTACTGTTATTATATGATGTGCTTTGGTCTTCCAGCTCTTTGATGTACACTAGCAATGCTGTGGAGGAGCTGAATGGGGATGTGCTTCAGGGCATGTGATGATTACTTTGGGTGGGATGCTCATCTGAACCATCGTCCACTCTCATTGGCCAAATAGCAGGAATTTAAGGCATTCTGAAAAACAATCTCCTTCTCCTGGGCTCCTTCTCCTGAACTCCTGGCTATTCCTGGGAAGGAAGAATGCCAGGAGTGTATGCCAAGAGTCTCTAATCCCAGCAGGGTC